TGCTCCCAACACACACACACACACACACACACACACACACACACACACACACACACACACACACACACACACACACACACACACACACACACACACACACACACAGAGAACTCACATTATCGTAAATGTGGTTTTATTAATAATAACAGTATCTCTTTTTAATGAACATTGCAGATACATAATAGAAAATAAATCAGAAATAGGTCGTCTCAAGAGTCGTGAAAGTGCCTGGAATAATTCTGTGCTATATATCGTCATTATTTCATCATCATCATCACCATCACCATCACCATCATCATCACCATCAACTTTATCATCAGAGCCCAGACATGTTAATTTCACCGTGAAACAGAAATGTGAATAAAATGCTTCTCGCTGATCTCAAGCTCCAAATCTCATCCATTTAACCTGCAGTCAGGTTTTAGTGTTTCTGAAATATGGCTCGATTGTCGTCATCTAAACCCCGTTATTTTCTTGATTATATTTACACAATGCCATGTCATAGAGCACAACTACTCCTGTGTTAGGAAGTGGGGCCCTACCTTGAAGCAATATCTCACTTTTCATAAGGGGGGAAGGTCTGATTGAGACACGTCCTTGGAGTCAAATCAAAAACTGAAGATTGCTAGAAGATAAAGGGGGAATAACACGTGTATTCATTTATTGTGTCCTCTCTTTGCATATTTTATGGCACTAAATGATCTCCATGGGATGAGAGGCTGCAGGTGTTTTAGTATGAGGTTAGAAAGAAACAGAAAAGATGGCACAGCTGCAGGAGGGACAGTCGGACATAGCTCTTTTTTTAGTATGATTTAAAGAGATAAAGGACTACTCTGTGAATGGTTCACTGTAGCTGCTCTAACTTGCTCTAAGTAGCATTTCTATAGCGTAGAAACATATACTCCAGGATTTAATCAAGATCTTTAAATACATTCTTGTCCCTCTTTATTTGGAAGGCGTTTATACTAAAAGGTTATTGTTGAGGAGAATACACCCCATGATTATTGGTCAGTAGGTCAGAAATATAATTAATTACATCCTCTAAAATGTTACCTTTAAATGTTAAAATGCAATGGGAACCACGGTGCATTCTGGGGCGGCCATCTTTGGAGGATAGCGTGTGTAGCTTAAGCAGCAGCTGTCAATATCCATCCCCCCCGCCCCCGCCTCCGACTCTCCAGTCCTCTTTATAAATCCATGTTTAAGAGGTTTGAAAGTGAAAATGTTACGCTTTTCGTTGAGTTGCAGTCACTGATGGCCAACTTGACCTTGATGGCGTCACATCCCATTCCCTTGAACTAAATATTACTTTGTCATCCAGTTAGCAAGTGTTACAAGCCCTCGTTTATTTGTCAACCCAGCTGACAGGGGGGAATGGCGAACAAATAACAGAGCTGTCATTTAGGAGGAAGTGAATATCAGAGATACTTGTTTGGTCCTTCAGAGGAAACCAGGTGCCATGGCCAGCCTCTCCTCCCTCTGCACTGCCCACAGCTCCATCACTGTATACTCAGCAACACATAAAGAAATCCTGCTGAACTGCAATCTGTTTGAAATGACAAAAACTCCTCTTTCTAATGATGAAAACAACATTTCTCTTTCTCTAGCAATATAAGACATTTAGTGAATGACCTATGGTGAGCTGTGCAGTTCCACATAACAAAACATTTTTTTTTATTATCTCTCTCCGATCTCTACCTCCATCAGAAACTTGAACTAAGCAAATATCCCTCGGGTTACAAAAATAGACTTTTCTTTTGTCATAAAATAATACACATAATTAATGTTTCGGTGATATAATCATCTGTTAAGGTAAATAGCAAGGCTGTTTTTTTTTTTTGTCTTTTAACGTAATCGTGAGAGAAACAGAGAGATTTGTAGCCTAGCACCATATTCTTCATATCCTCCTCCGTGGATGTCTCGAAAGCGTTCGAATATGATCGATGTGTGAACCCAGCGTGTCCCTGTTGTCTGGACTCCGTGTTTTGCATATTCTGGTTGAGTCCAGATTCTCAACCCTTTACGGCAGCCTCCCAGGAAATCCAAGCCAAATCCCAACTCCCGAAAAAACTCCCAAAGCTTTACAAACTACACCGGCCAACAAATAAAGATAAAGCTAACAACGGTTTATCCAAAACATCTCACAGGCCATTGCTTCACTTTTGTACAAACTGAAAAAGAAGATATAGTCCCAACTGATGATCAAACATAAGAAGAAGTCCAAAACACTGATGCTACAAAGAATTAGAAAACGTATGTACAGGACCCTGTATTCCTTGACTCTCCGGGTAAAGGATGGTGGCATACAGGCATACAAACAAGTCTCCCTTGTTTTTGTTTTGTTGTTCAGTTTCAATAAAAGCTCTCATTGGACCAAAAAAAAAGATGAAAATCTGCCACCACCTCATCCCCAAAGTATCCACCCTCCCCCTGATGTTTCCTGGTGCAAATTCAACAGCAGCAAGTGGCCAATCAGGCGCCTCTGCCTCCGGTGCGTTCAGGGTCCAAGTGCCAGAGGTGAGTCCTCTGTGCAGATCTCTGTCACCAGATGACGCTGGAGATGCTGGTCTCTCGGGGCAGCAGGGGCAGCATGGCGTTGTTCGCGTGGGCCTCCTCCATGCTCTGTTGCCGCGGCGACTTGCCCTGTGGCCGCTGCCCATTGATGAGCGTCATGGGGATGTTGCAGTAGGTGTGCTGGCTGCCCAGCGTGGACATGGGCGGGAGCGTGCCGCCGGGCGCCATGTCGTAGTCGTAGCTACGGTAATAGTGTTTCTGCCTCATCTGGGTGTGGCAGGAGTTGTGGAAGTTGGAGCGCAAGTCCGGGTGTGCCGTCGCCATGGCGGTGGAGGTGGCCGCCGCCATGGAGATGGCAGAGACGGTCTGCAGCTCGCCGAAGGGGCCCTGCTCGCTGACGTCCAGCACCTGCTCGTGGGAGATGCTCAGGGGCTCCATCTGCTTGAAGGGCATCTCGTAGAGCAGCTGCTTCCAGAACTTGGAGTTGAGCTGGTTGCTGGACGGCCCGCGCCACTTGATGACCGTCAGCATCTTGATGGTGTGTTTGAGGGCCTCCACCTCCTGGTAGTTCATGATGCCGCGCAGCTCGGCGCACTCGATCAGGATGACCTTGATCTCGCCGGTCACCAGCATGTTGCGCAGCCGCGTCTCCAGCTCAAAGATACTCCACCCCCTCCGCACCACGTAGCTGGGCGTCATGACGATGATGAGGCGCTTGCTCTGGTCCACACAGCGCGCCACATCCTCGATGTAGGCTGAACACACACACAGAAACAGAGAAACACTTAAGAGCAGCACAAGTGAGAAGCATATTCTCTATCATGTTTACTCTATTGGTTTACATAGCTTTAATTGAGAGCTTAGGCTTGATGAAAATGTGATGAAATATTTTACATTTGGAGAAACGACTCTTTGATCAAAGTTTGAAAGAACCAAATTCAATTAACATTTAATGTATTTCACAAGACTGATTGAACATTTCAGTTATCAAACATCTGAGGAAAATCTGCAGCAACACTGAGTCACTGTCACATGAAATGAAGATAACATGACTCTTTTATATAAACTCTTACTAAAATAAACAACTTAGCATTTAAACAAAAAATTATAGACAAAAAGAGGACGAGGGTTGATTACTATAAGGTGACAGTAAACAAAGAACACTGAAAGCCAGCCTACAGTGTGTGAACCTTCACACATTTACAATATGGTGCTCAAATCCCTCTGAGTAATAATATCCTTGATAAAGTGTGTCCCCGGGCTGACTTGGGCGTCGGGAGGAGAAGAGAAGAGTGTGTGTGTGTGTGTGTGTGTGTGTGTGTGTGTGTGTGTGTGTGTGTGTGTGTGTGTGTGTGTGTGTGTGTGTGTGTGTGTGTGTGTGTGTGTGTGTGTGTGTGTGTGTGTGTGTGTGTGTGTGTGTGTGTGTGTGTGTGTGTGTGTGTGTGTGTGTGTGTGTGTGTGTGTAGGTAATTCCTGCTTTTAGCCTTTTTTGGAAAGAGTCATATTCAGCAGCAGGTAGAAAGGATTAACTGAGCTTCACTTTTTCTAATCAAGGACCCTCTTGTGTGAGAAGATAAAAAATAATGTGTACTTCTTTTAGCACAGAGAGGTATATATATATATATATATATATATATATATATATATATACACACATACTTGTGTGTGTGAGAGATATCTTGCTTGTCTTTAAGCCACCTCTCCATGTCACTTAGAATGAATGTCATGTCATGCCTGAGGCTACAACTGATTAACGTGAATTTTAAATCGCTCTTTCTTCACAAAGATAAGTATATTATTTGGGTAATTGGGCCTTTTGCTGCATTTCGTCAAAATACATCCCCAAAGCTTATTATTGTATCTTTTATCTCCAGTTATATTGCTCCTCAGTTACCAAAGAGTATCACAACTACAGTCCACTGCTTTCTTTTCTTCTGGAACATATAGAGTAATATGTAACACTCGCCTATTGGCTAGCGCTCCAACATATTTTAAATGATAGGCTAAGGGGCGGGACACCTCTGAGCGGTTGACCAATCCCAACAAAGCTGTCCAAATAACCAATCAGAGCAGACTGGGATCTGGTTTCAGACAGAGGGTGAAAAGAGGTGCTGCAGCACAGGCAGTATGAGAACAATAAAGAGCTTTTTGAATATTAAAGCATGGAGACATGTCACAGCAGATTATATTCTTTCTGGGACTGACCCCACGCATCACAATAAAAATAAAAATGGAACATAGCAATGTGCCTAATCTGTAAATAACGTAATGCGAGTAAAGAACATTTAAAAGTGCAGGATTTTTAGGTTGTAACTAATGGCGTCGTAAATGCTTAAAAAACAGTATGTATTATTGCAGTAATAACGGCTATTAGCGACCACCTCATTACAACACTAACCCATTATAAAACCACTAGTAACAATGTTGAAACACTTAGATATGATGATTTCTTTGGGTGATTTTGTGAGAGATACTGCATCGGTGTGTGTGGACACGAGCGTTAAACATCTGGATAATAAGTACCTCTAAGTAGTCTTGTGTCATCCTGGAAATGATCATTGGTGAAACCTAAACATAGATATTTGGATTCAAAGTATGATCAGAAGTTGTGGAGAAAAAAGCATTTAAAAATAAAAGAACAGTTTTTTTTAATGTGGGGACACGGCTCTGGCATAAACTGTGTTTCTGCACTGGTGTTTTTTGCACAACAATAATCGCACTGACCAGTTTATTCCAGTTTAATATGGGATATGGAGCATAAAAAAGCACAGGAAACACTTTTTACTTTGGTGGCAGGAGTAACACCAGGTGTTATTTTGCTGCCATATACTAAAAAACATTGAGATGTGTATAAATAATCCAGCATGCTGGGGAATCAACAGCTCACGTGTTGAAACCCCAAATGGCCAAACTGTGGCTTTAGCCGTGGATTATGCTTTATTATAACTGTTGGGATGCTAATAGACTCCCAATGGGATCTAAATGTTTATACATGGACACATTAAGCCAGCGAGCTGAAAAAAAAAAGGCAGATGTTTTTTTAAATCCTTGCATTTTTATGCCATTTTTCCCATATTACAACAGTCCCCCTCGAAATGGAGCACACAATCACAGCAAGGGATTCAGATTACCACGTTGGCACGGTGCCAATACTGGAGAGGAGCATAATTAGTAATGGCGGTATGTGCGGGGAAGACAGGCAGATGCATGTGTTCAAATGGAGGCTAATAACATAATGATATTATCAAACTCATCAAATTGCGTGATGAGTTAATCAACGATAAGCACGGGGCATGGTGAGACGCTCCATTAGAAATATACTGTGGCAAAACATGCATTCATATCCATGCATAAAGAGCTTTATGATGGTGCAGCTGACACCAGCACACAGCAGCATGCAGAGGGACGCTTTATGTTATAATAATGTTGATAGACTCTATTTAATTCAGCTTTGAATGCCTCCCATAGGCTTTACATTGTGTAGGTAATGCACTGTAAATACTTGTTGTAACGCATTTGCACCTGTCGGCCACCGTAGAATCCTCTATTGATATGTGCAATCAAAATATCTTCATTTAATCATCACAGTGTTTAATTTCTATGAACTGCTTTGAGCAACATATCTTAAGATTAATTGCTATTATATTCCTCAAAACTCCCTCTCACCTTTCAAAAGAAGGGGCTACCATGCTTTTATTTTGAAGGGTTACTTCTTGTTACATGTAATCCGAGGGTCTTCATCTCAGTTTATTAATACACGGCCTCCCTGCACAGCATGTGTAGAGGAGGAACTATAAAACGGACCGATCTAAACTGCGATGGTTCTTCAGAGGCGCTGCAGAGAACACGGGGATACTTCCAACACCCAGGAATACCGTTAAGATAACCTACAGGCTCCTAAAACGGCAACAAGTGGAAAGTCTGTTTGGAGCAGTGGTTCCTAACACTTTTGTTTGTTTGACGTACCTCCCCGGATGAATATAATATATATATATTGTTGTTTCACTACATCAAAACCACCCGCCAGGTTCCCCATTTGTTCATTTGCATATATGGAGGCTAATGGATTACATGTAACGGGATTACGTAATAAGGATACATACAAGTTAAGTGTGTTCCCTCCCCCATGTGTTTCATTGGCTACTGCCCTAATATGCTTATTTTATTTTCTTATGTCACTTTGTTCTGTGAAAAACATCCTTTTGATATTTATTTTCTCTTCTATTTATTTTGCATTACATTTGATATTCAGGTGTTTGCAAAAGTACCACCACAGTAAAACACAGTGCCTCGTTTTATTTCATTATATTTTATATAGCAGGTACTTGAAGAATTAGTACTGTAGGATAACAAAATATGAGGCCATGTTGAATATTGACATAACGATATCACTCAGTTCTGCCTTACTGCTGGTTTTAGTGCACTGCCAACGTGGATAAATAGTCTTGTTGAATTAAATAGCCAAATGGAAATTAGGAAGTTAAACATTGAAATGACTACTAAAGGCATCGATAAAAACAGTTACATTCCCTACCATTACATTCTTTAAACTAATCAAAAAAAGTGCAATAACATAAACTTAGGCAACGCTAAATGCCAATTTATAACCCTAACCCTTAAAAACCCAATTTATTTGACACCTGTGAAGCATTTTCATCCAGCTTAATTCACGTGAAAGAAGTTGAAATACTATCAAGTCCATGCAGAATTAAAGCAGTGTGTGTGCACCGCTAAAAATATATGGTGTCTGTGTGCCTCCTAGCTTTAAAGTAAACAGTAATATATAGGTACTTTTGGTTGGAAATCACTGATTTTAGGACTAAAACACTTAAAAATAGTGCCTTAGGATGTTTTTCTCATGCTTATTTGATGTCCGTTCTGCCCTAATTGCAACTTTGTCCCCTTTAAAAGCTGTAATATGATGTTTATTTAGCGTATCTTATTGCTAACAAGCTACTTTAAATGAAATCTTTTCCTGCTAAATTGAAATGCCACTGATCCACTCTGCCATTGGTTAGAAAAAAGCCCATTTCATAATGATTGGAAAACAATGACGATGGTTCTTAAAGGGTCTAGTTACGCCACAACACAAATGCATCACAGAAAACAAGGCATGTCACCACGGCACGGACAACACGAGCAAGCGACAAAACATTCGAAACACAACGTGACATCGCCGCGAGAGAGAGAGCTTACTTCCTGTGGGGATCAAGTCCCTGTCTGGAATGAAGAGTTTATACCCATAATGCTTCTCCAGCACGTCGGGGAGGATCTCCAGGGCAAAGCGCTCTTCCTCTCGGGTCTCCTGGCTCCACTGGTCCGGGTCCACTTTGGTGTAGGACAGGTAAGCGTCGTAGTCCTTGTTATCTGCGGGTAGAGAGGGGAGACAGACGCTGAGGTTGGAGAAATGTCAAACCAGCAGGTCTTTCTTTAATTCACGTTATAACCCAGGTGCAAGGAATGGAAATAAAGCAGAATCAAACAACATGTGTATCACCTCATGTATGAGCATTAAGAAGCTCCTTCAACCACTTTGCTCCAATTAAATGTTTTATGCTTCCTGCTTTGGTCAGCAAAGTTTTTCCGCTGCTGTTCCCTCCAGATGCTCGTAATCTATTTCCATACTGGTGTGAAGGGAGCTATTCATTCAGTGGGAGACTTCATTGAGACAGGACGCCTCCATTACACTGACCTCTGGGCACTTCTGCCCATCTGAGTGCTTTTCATTACAGCTCCGTCCCCACTGACGAATAATGTTACCTTGATGGCTACTTTGCTCACTGCAGGCAAAACAAATTAGGCTCCAGGCTGAGCCAAATGCCCAACAGTGGGTGCTAGGCCTGCGCGTGGCGTGGCTCCATCACCCACATGAAAGCTCTGATTGATGACGGCTTCGAGAGGGCCGAGCGGAAAGTGAGAAGTGAGGGAGGGATTGAAGCTGCAGCACTTCAGTACAATGAGTCAGGAGGGTGCGGATACCCAGGAGCCTCTGACTACTACAGGAAGGAGATAACAGCCCCCGGCTCATGCAACAACTCAACTCCAATTTTGTGCTCAAAGCAAACTGAACAACACTTTGTCAATTACAGAGTCTCAGTCTCTTAGTCAGTAACCTGTAGACAGATACAACTTTGTAGCAAGATATAGAGAAGTCCTTTTCTGCTTCAAGCTGAGTCAAGAACATGAATAAACAAATGATTTACATGAAACCGGATAAACAAATAAAGGTAATTATGTTCCCTTACTTCTTGTTATTTTTGAGGCACTGTCCCCTTTCTGATTCTAATCTCCCAGTTTTGACTGCCACAAGTCAGATACAATGTATGCATACAAAAATATAAGATTCTCTGTGTTTCTTTATTCACTAAAGAAGCCATATCTGTGCCGGGAAAGGAGAGGGAATTCAGAATTTGGAACACTTTGAGGCGCGATGGGAACACAGCCCTTTGAGGTAAACTCATTAGAGACACGAGCAGTCGTTGGATCTGTGAGTTCCTGTCTTCATTATGATTGTAGTGCCTTTGCTTTATGGAGTCCACCTGCAGCGCAAGAGATGGGAGGAGATGTTTAACCCGTCAAGAAGAAGGGCAGAGAGGATGGAGGTGGAGGAGGGGAGGGAAGGATGGGAGAGGAGACGAGCAGCTGGGTTCAAGAGGAAGAATGTGGCATCTATCTTCAGTACAGTTTCTCTTTTTTTCTGTTACACGGCTTGGTTAAATGCTCGATTCTAATTGGTCAATTTGGATGTTCCAGAAGACAGGCAGGAAGTGAACACTGACGGGAACACGGTATGGGCTCTGGCTGTTTCTAAACACTGGTTAGTGGAAAACAAAAGGTGAACAAACATGGACAGTTACAGAGAACCTCGATCAGTGCTGAGGTCACTTTAAAGGGGACCTATCATGCAAAATGCACCTTTGTACGTCTTCTATACATGAACATGTGTCCCCGGTGTTCCAGGGAACTCACCAAGTGTCAGAAAACACAACCCTCTCTATTTTCCTCCATACCCAAATCTCTTAAAAAAAAGGGGCTGCAACGGATCTGATACAGACTGATCCAGATTTGAACACTTCTATGACGTCACAGAAGTGGGCACTGCGGCTATTTGGCCAACTCCACCAATCAGGAGGAGACAGCCACGGACATTGCCGTTGGAAAGCGCTGGAGACGCTGTAGTACATATGCCAGGCCTGTAGATGGTGCTGTTCTCACAGAATCAGCCCATGCAATGACAGTGTTAAATTGAGCGAAATGAGGAATGGCTCAAATGCATGATCTGTTTGGTATTTTGAAAAATAAAAAGTATAAATATGCCTTATGGTCGTACACTATATTATTCAAATATAGCATGATAGGTCCACTTTAAGTTACGTTGCTGTGGCCACAGTTTCAGCCGCTGCTATGCTATGTAATGAGCATCGGGATCCTGATCACAATCTCGTTATTCTTTTTTAATTAATGCACATTATCTCTTATTTAATATCTTCTCTGTTTTACACTCCTCGGGCCATCTTTTCCTTCTTACACAACGCTTTGTAATCAATCAAACTCCTTTTTATAACATGCAATTCCTTTTTTACAACATTAGGGACATGTAAGAGTAATTGAACTGTAACCTCATAATCACTTAGTATAAATAACCGTTGGGTTTATGTGCTGCCTCTTTGTGACATACAGTACATCTCTGTGGTAGCTGTGTAGGCAGATCAGGGGCTATTTCAGTGAGCTGATTCACTCGAGGTGAGTCTGGAAGGCGGGATGACCCCTGCAGGAGCACCTTGAGGAGTCACTCCTCACAGGAGACTGCACACCTCTCAAACACTCCTCCGTCTCACATGTCCACCGCAGACAGACGGACGGATGGACGGACGCTCGTTGCACTCGGAGGGGCGGGGGAATATATATGCACATGAGCCCACAGTGAGATGGTGAACTCTTGAACCCGTGGTGGAGAGTGCCAAGAGAGTCGGAGGCGTGATCTCCGGGATATTTCTGGGCTCCATTACATCTAATGGAGCGGAGACTTGAATGTAACACTGGAGCTACAGAGGCACGTGAGGAGGACTGCTAATGAGACGCTGAGTATTTCTAAATATGCTGTTTTGTTTTCCATGACTAATAAACAGCTACCTGAGGTCGTAGGGCTGCGGCTAACGATCATTTCCATTATCAATTAATTCTTTATTCCCAAAAAAAGAGAGGTAATGCTTGAAGATTCCTGGTTTTCAGAATAATTTCCTGTATTTATTTTGAAATGAATGAAAGATCACATATTCTGCTCTGTTCTCAGGTTCATATTTGTATTCAATGCTACTCTTTGATGTTTACCTCTGCGTCGTTAATATGCAAATGAACCAGGATTCCTTCGAGTCATTGTGAGCGGGATGTGTAAACTATTAATGCTTGGTAACTCCAAACTACACCGAACACAGGCGGAGGCTCATAACTCCACGCCGTGCTGACAACACTGACATTCGTATTTATGGCAGGGTGCTGATGAGTTCCCACCTCCGTGACAAGCTCGCTCTGCTTTGTGATCATGAAGCCTATTATTGATTCCACTGACACCCACACAATGTGACAACTGAGCGCTCTTTAACTAAATAGCCGTGCTGACAAATAGCTGACAGTCCCCCCTTTTGTTACGTAAAGCTTACAGTTTAACATCTGGCAGGAGAGGGAGGCAATTAGTTCTTCGGGTGGCCGCAATGAAACACTTTCTTGGCAGTGTGTGAAGATGCATTTTGGGAAAAATCTCTGTGTTGCAGACACTGGGCTTTAATAATGACACATTTATGTTTTTTAATATCTTACATGCAGCTTTTTCTCAGTGAAAGAAGACTAAAAACCCTAAAGCAAATTCAGGCATTAAGTATTAGCCTACAGTTTACAAAGAGAAATACAATCTGCTCCTTCTACAACAAACACAATAGGCTCTGCTAGTATTTTTAGAAATGTAACAGTAATTCAGTTATTTTGTATGCATGTGTAAGGGAATACAGTTACTTTCTTTTGTATCCAGATTACATAATCCTGTTACACGTCAACTGCTTCTCCCCAAGCCTGCTTTACCTTTGCGCTGAAACTCAGAGATGAGAGGTTCAGGTGCAGCTTGTGAATGTGGACGTAGCAGTGATCTAATCGACCGCGGCGTGGAGGAAAGTATCCGGGCTCTCCTGAGACCTCCGGAGGCAGCGTGCTGTGTCTTATTGAACCTGATCCCCTTATACTGGAGAACAAATTGAAAATCAGTTTCTCTCTCCAAGCATTCACTCGGGGTGGCGCAATTAAAGGAGACAATTGCTGTTTGGCATTAGGTTCAAGGCCCTACATTTTTTCTTCCCCTTTTCAACAAAGCTGCCTTAGGCCATCCATTACGGCAGACCTCGTCTTTCCCGCGGCCGGCACAGCCCGAGGTAATGACTTTCATTGAAATGTCTGATGTAGCAGCCATGGCGGTTAAGAGAGAGAGCTGGGAGTGTATACGTAGAGGAGCACAATACTTTTTACCTTTAAACACTCATAACTCTCTTGCTGTCTCTCTTTCCACTCCAGCCTCTCCAAACTAATCTCATTCCCCCTGAATTCATTGCAGCGCTGGTACTTGAGAGACTCATTACGGGGGAATCAAATTAAAACTTGCTCCTTGTCTCAGTTTGATGCATTCTCAAGCCAAGACTCATCCACCAGGACCAATCAGAGTTTGTTTTTTAGTTTTACGGTTGCTGATGGGGCCTCAGAGTTAATGTTTTTACTCTGGCACAGGGACTATGTTTGGATTTCCTTCAGCAGAATATATGATCCCTTTACTCGTGTGCAGTTTGCATGCACACACGTGGATTTGCAGCACCACAACCTAACCCCTCTTAACTTCATGTTTTCTTCTTACATTTCCAGAACAGCAACTCAAGATGATGTGCCTTAAGTGCTTTTTACACCACTGGCCTATTAAAAGTGGGTTGCTTGTGGAGTTGTCCAACGTGTTAAGGCCCAGATACACCGGCCCGAAATCGGCAGTAAATGGGAGTCGGGCCGAACATGAGCGTGGGCACGCCCTATTCAGAGTGGTGTGCGCCGCACCGTCGGGTCTTTCTGCCGACCTGACGCCTTTTCTTGCCGATTCAACATGTTGAATCGGCGTCGGGAACACCACCGGAAGTCGGACAAAGGAATAACACTGATTGGCTGTTCAGCTAGCGAATCAGTGCATGAGAAGCGTTAACGGAAGTGAGGGAGGTAAACAAATGATTTAAAATGGAAGATGGAACACACACGGACGGCTATTTCACCTCATCGGTTTATAGAGCTCCTGTTCGTTCATGTTTTCAATGGACGAGAGTGAAAATGGAAAGAAAAACGCTATTTGTTGTTTGTTTATATCACGGAGTCTGTTCTTCTTCTCTGTCTTCCGGTTGTTCCGGTTGTTGCCTCTTTTGAATGATGAATACACACTACCGCCGCCTGCTGGTAAGGAGAGTTATTGCCACTCACGCATGCGCAGTTCATACGTGCTCGGCTCAGATTTGCGGTGTGTTCCAGTGCGCGAAGTCGGCAAATACGCAGGAGAGTCCGGCGACGCAACAGTTGGTGTCGGCGTCGGCGACTTCTCAGGTGACTGGCCGGTGTATCTGGGCCTTTAGGGTTACATTTGACAGCCCTTAAGAAACACACACATATATATATATATATATACTGTATATAAATGTACAGCAAATATTGCAAACTGGAATGTCTCACATTATTTAGTCTGCCTGTGTTTTTAGGCTGGTTATTCACTGAAAGAAGTATAACAAATGTTTGTATGTACCCCGAAATCACCTGCAGCTGCAGCATTCAAAGTGTTTTAGTGATCAAGGCTGCTTTTTCCTTTTATAGCTAAACTCGGCAGCTCTGCCTGTTGGAGGCTCAGCAAAGCAGCGAGAGGGAACTGTTTGAAAAACTGAACTCCATTACCCAGAAGTCATGCATTGTGATGTCAGGAAACAGCACGGCTGACTAGTGATTCGTTTTTCACAAGGATGAAGACATGGAAACACATCAAAGACCGGGGAGTCATTTTGCTGCTGTTTAGGAGACAGTTTACAGAATGTTTTTGCATAAAGTTTTTGATTTTGCTCAGTGGGCTGAAAAGACACCTTGAAATTCACAACAACATTTCTGTGTATGTAACGAAGGGAGGATCTTTTTAGGTGGCATTTAGACTGATAAAACAGGTGCATATTTACATAAGAATAGTGCCACATGCAGTTACAAGATATGGAAAATAGCCCAGGTGGGTCTTTGAGTAAAAATAAATATGTGCAGAGCAGCACTGACAGCGCTCAGGTTAGGGATTTGGTTCTACAGAGGAGAGAAAGGACGCTTTCACAGCAGAGGAAGGCGCTTTAGAAATCCCCCACCAAAACAGGAAACAGTGATAGATTATGGGAGGATTTATTATATAACGGTGTAAAGTAAATGATGTCTTGCACATCTTACCTCCATCTATATCCTCGCTGCCAAAGTGGTTCCTGTAGAAGAGCATGAGCTCGATCCGGTAGCACTTGTACAGCGTCACCAGACAGATGAGCAGCATCAGGATGGCTCCCAGCCCGCCGGCCAGCTCCACCGTGTACATCAGCTCCGCTAAACACAGTGAGAGGGAGACATTTTAATAACATGTTTAATTAAAACCAAGAACACCAGCAGCCAGGAATAGTTAAATCGGTTTTTACCATTTGTAAATGGTCTGCAAAGGCTAAAATCACAAAGTTCACGCCACCATTGGAATGTTTTGTTTTATTCCGGAACGTCACTATGGAAAACCCGCGCTTCTATTGGCCAGTGCTGAATAACCAATCAGAGCAGAGGGGCTCTGGTTTCAGTCAGAGGGTTGAAAAGGAGCTGCAGCACAGGCAGTATGAGAATGTTTGCGAAATGACAGAAAAAGCAAGTAAAAAGCATTTGCTTTAAATGATTACACTTAAAAGCAATGCAGTTTGTTTGAATAGTTCAAAAGATTATACTTTTAACACACATTCATCATTTTAATGCGTTTTAGATGCTGTGGGACTTTATTTATTTCCTTCTTAGAAACTGCGAAATGTCAGAAAGTTGCAAGGTAATTTTGTATTTCTCTCATAACTTCAGCAAGATAAATACTCTTATACTGCATACTCGTTAAATAATGCATGATGCAGTCAACATGGATGAGAAAATATCCCTAGCTATCTGAAAAATAATATGTGTTTCTAGGTCCAGGTTTGGATGAAAAAAGCATCTCTTTCTTTGTTCGCTACCTTTCCATTTAGTTTAAATTCTCATTATGCCTTGATTATATCCACATGACACATAACTCTAACCGTAATGAAAGTACAACCCTTTCTATTCCTGTCACCTAATGCCTGCTGGCTTGATCGCATAATAAAAAAAAAAATCAAAGTGAGGCAGCGGGCACAAAACAATAGCATATGACAGATCTGACGGCCACGCTTATGAAGATTGGTTACACGTGTGTGCGGCTGCAGAGAGGTACGTTGAGAGGAATCGACGGATCGAAGCGCTCCGCTCGCCCCGCCATCCGTCATTGCTGCAGTCTGACGCAAAACTCATGAAAAGCATGAGTGGAAGCTCAACTCATGGAAGTACTGGACTTCACTGTGGATTTTTCAGCTTCACACTAACTAAATATCCCCACAGAAGCAAGACTAGTGTTATTCAGGAGCATCAAGGGGGATTTTTACACTACAGGACAATGGACTCCATGGTGCAAGGAGTCGCCTTGAAAACCGAGTCGTTTGATTTGTCTCTTCATGATTCTGTCTCTTTCTAAAGGCTTTTTTTCTATCGGATGTCACTCCATCTTTTCGCAGTTCAACATTTCCTCCCGGCGACGCCACACAAAATCCGGGTGGTCAGCCTTCGTTGGCTGACTAATGGACAACAGTAAAAACACACACACACATGGCCGGAGAGGACTCAGCGTGCATCGCCATCCATCACCGGCGCACGTTTAACCTCGATGCAGTGCGCAATGCCCATCTCAGTGCGGCGGCCATCAGGCTGACAGGTCCCATGATGAAGGATTATGCTCTGGAGAGCTAACGAGCGAGGCCCGTGCCGCTTCATCACGCCTGTCTGGGCCACGACCTTCAGGCAAACTTATGTACGCAAACAAACTGTGTGCAGAATGAGCGCACGCTGTCGATACCCTGACTTCCTCCTCTTGTCTCACTTTCTATCCACTCATCCTGACGTTTTCAGAGAGGGGTGGTTGCAGCTAACTGCCAGAAGATGGATCCAAGCATTTCCACTTCTCCCCCTCTTCATTCTCCACTCGGCCCCCCGCCTCACTGAGCACTGCTCCTCTCCTCAGATATCTGGACAGTGTAATGAGCCAGCTGTTCCTCCAGCAGCAGAGATTACGGAGAAAGAGGCCAATTCTTCTCTGCCCGGCATCCACATTGTAGCGGAGCTGCAGTGGGACGGATTAAGACAAATTAGCTCCTGACGACAAGAAGGCTTGATTTGATGGAGCCACATGGCATCGTGCGATTCATCACCCTTTTTTTTTTTTTTTCTGCCTCTATTACTGCATCTCTGTCTGTGCCGCTAGGGAGAGAGAGGAAAAGGCAAAGTGGGGGTTGAATTGTAAAACATAAAGAGAAAAGCAGCAGTGAGAAGTCTGCTGTTTCTCATGTTCACAAATCTTGAATCTAGGTACTTATGGCACGTTTCCACTGCAGCGTGGTAGCCCCGTTTAAGCGTCCCTAAGCGTCCCTAAGCGTCCCTAAGCGTCCTCGCTCAGGCCTCGGGCTGCCTCGCTGGCCGTCCGAGGCCGTGGCGCATTTCCATTACAGTTTAGGTGCTGGGGTAGCAACGCAGTGTAGGCGGGGCGATCGGCTTTTTGGGCGGAGCGACGCTGGGTAAAACTGCAGTGGCGTCATCTTCAACTAATGTTCATATTTCTCTTTTTGATTATAATACTGATGAACGTTAAAAAAAAAAGCACTTTGGCAACTTACCACATACGGTTTAAAATGCTTAATAAGCACCGTAACTTTCATGATATAATTTCTCCGTCATAATCGTTTGTGTCCGTGAACGGCCGACTGTTGTGTGACGTCAAATGCTGCGGCTGCAAGGCATTGTGGGGCAGCATTTTCTCCTCTCCTTTCGGTTAGGGAGGTCCAGTGGTTCCTAAGCTAAAGGAGGTTATAAAGGAAGTTTGAAACCTCCTTTCCTTTCATTCTAGAGAATTCGAACGGCACTTATCATGGCTGCCACTGAGGGGCTTCCGGGTCATTTCACTCGATTAGGAAGGTTCCTAAGCTAAATGGACTATTCGAACGCAACCCTGCACTCTGAGGACACCTCCACTTTCAAGACAGGAAGTGCACGCTAAGAATTCCAAAATAAAATCGCCACTATCAGTACAGCGCCACTTTCCAAAGCAG